ACTTATGTGATGCACCAACAAGCGAGAGCAAACAATTTAAAAATTTGTTATCATAAAAAAACAAATTGACATCAGTTTTTCATGAGTCTGTCTTGTTATTGACAATGAATTTCATTGTAACATTGTCAAAATAGTCTGCGGATCCACTCGGCTATCGCCTTGTGGATCCACAGCTACTTTGACAATGTTATGATTAAATTCATTATAACAGGACAGACACATGAATAACTGATGTCAATTTGGTAAAGGGATAGTTTTACAGTGTAATGTCACATATTATGCTATAGCATAAGTATACAGTGCCTTAAACGTTTTTTATCATCCTTGTATTCTAGTGGTCACAGACTTTAATCTGTGCAAGCTGATTGAGTGACATCCAAAGTTTACAGATTTCAATGGACTTACACAGAAAATGCCAAATTTAGTGTTAAACATTTTACAGTGATACCCAGCCGAAAGGCCACCCCTTTAATTCGGCCAGATTTTTGGGCCTGTTCGTGACCATATTAACAGGGTTTCGCTGCATTCTTTGGTCCAAAGGACTTTTTCTGGACACATGTTCCATTTTGTAGGAATCTGATTGCTCCTTAGACTATGAACTTGAGTGATGGATGAAGTTAGAACAAACAAAAGAAGGAGTTCTAATGAGAAATATTCCCTCTATCACCATTTTTCTTGCAAGTCATTAGCTTTAACATTAGAAAAGGCTTCCTTGGCTAATGTCTCATGAATTATAGAATCGAATAAAGTGATAGTTTCCATGTGACTTGTACAAAGCTGTGAGACCATCCCTTCAATGAGAATGTATGAAAGACTATTTGTATTGCAGTTCTAATCTTCTTGATTTGCTTTGTTCATTAAATAAAAAAATAAAAGCTCGAGGGATAAAAGAGATTTGGACGTCATAAGAGAAGAGCACAGGTATGTCGATATTAAGATGGATGCCGCTCAAAGTTTGAGCAATAAGTGCAAAAATTATTTACTAAAAATCTACTCACAGTGTGGTAAGTTTTTGAATACTGTTTGAAACAACTCACTTAAGGTCATTCCTCTAAGTGACCCTGCAATTAAATTCTCAAGCATTCTCAAGAAAGTTAACGTCAAAGCTTGTAAGAATGCTTAAAGCGTGTGTTATTGTGTTTTCAACGAACACGAAACATCTGTTATAATTGAAATATGGATAACTTCAAGTTCAGTTTTCTCTCGCAGGGTCAGCTTTAGAGCTCAAGTCTCTATAAGTTCTTACTTAACTGTATTCAAAATATTACCATGTCAGGGGTTTTTTTGGTATCTTAATTTTTGCCATTGTTGCTCAAATGTTCTGCAGAAATCGTCTTGACTACTTTGTAATGTTTACTACTGACAAGTTGGGTGTGACAAGGGAATTGAGAGTTTCACGACAGTTTTATTTTGTTAAACTTGACCGTACTTAATAGTACATAACAAAATAATGTAATGACAAGGTCAAAGACAAAAAAAAATGATTCCAATTATAATCGATGTTCAATATTTTGTTATTAGGCTTATTTTATGGGGTGGTTTTCAATGAAATTTGGAGATCTAATAGAATAGTTTGAAAGTGAGAACTTGGGGTTTCAAGAACAGTCTGGGTCAGAGTACTGTTTGGGGTTGCTGCATTGTGTTCTTGGAGGAGTCACTTAACTCTCACAGTGCCTCTGTCCACTCAAGAACCAAAAACTTCAAGATAATTTTTCACAAAAGTTATGTACATTTGTGTCTTCTTACTGTATGCTATGGAAACCAATCAGCTATTAATAATTATTACCAGTTGGATAGTGAAGTATGTGACAGATTTTGTATTCACTGATCAATCTCTTTGTTTACATGCAGATTTATTTGGAATGAAGATGANTGCAGAAATCGTCTTGACTACTTTGTAATGTTTACTACTGACAAGCTGGGTGTGACAAAGGAATTGAGAGTTTCACGACAGTTTTATTTTGTTAGACTTGACCGTACTTTGTAGTACATAACAAAATAATGTAATGACATGGTCAAAGACAAAAAAAATGATTCCAATTATAATCAGTGTTCAATATTTTGTTATTAGGTTTATTTCATGGGGTGGTTTTCAAAGAAATTTGGAGATCTAATAGAATAGTTTGAGGGTGAGAACTTGGGGTTTCAAGAGCAGTCTGGGTCAGAGTACTGTTTGGGGTTGCTGCATTGTGTTCTTGGAGAAGTCACTTAACTCTCACAGTGCCTCTCTCCACTCAAGAACCAAAAACTTCAAGATAATTTTTCACAAAAGTTATTTACATTTGTGTCTTCTTACTGTATCCTATGGAAACCAATCAGCTATTAATAATTATTACCAGTTGGATAGTGAAGTATGTGACAGATTTTGTATTCACTGATCAATCTCTTTGTTTACATGCAGATTTATTTGGAATGAAGATGATAATCCAGAGAGTACTTGGTATGTATGACTCTCCCCCATCCCAGGCAAGGGACTCCCATATGAAAAGACTGGGGATACTTGTCAAAAAATTGGGATTAAACCTCTAAGGGAGACCAATCTGGGTGTGGCACCACTTAAAACAGACCTGATGGCAGATTTGTTATTATTTCTTTGAGAGCAACCCTAAAAGATATTTTCACAGATAAAAATAGTGGTGTTTCAACCTGGACACCTTACGTGAGACTAACATCCTTGATTTACACCCTTGAGTGAGAAAATGAGCAACCGCAATCTTTACAGTATAGGAATCCCCCCCTCCCTGGATCCCTCTTGAAGAAAGTGATGGCTATATTTCACTTGTCTAGATAAGGCATGGTTCCCAATATTTTGCCTGGAACAGGTTATCAAGTTGTCAGAATCTAATTCCTGAATAAACAAGGAAATGGTACATATTGTAAATTCCTTATAACCCTTTACCCTGAAATGAAATACCAGTGGTAATGTGGTATAATTGATAAAGGAAGGGTTTACAAGTAGATTCTAGCAGTTCATACCCACCTAGTCTTTCGGAGAAAGAATGGTTTCTGCAGGCAAACAGTGAATTCAAAGCATTTTAGTAGCTGCTAATGTTAATAGCAACTGTGTAGTGCAGTTCTATAGATGTTCACTGCCAAGTACTGAAAATCACTTCCAACTTTTATTTTTTCAGGGAAAAGCGTTTGGCTAAGAAGTATTATGACAAGTTGTTTAAAGAGTATTGCATTTCTGATCTTAGTAGATACAAGGAAAACAAGGTGAACATATAAAAGGAGTGTTAAAACATTAATCAAATGTTTAATAACTTGCCATGGCAAACATTGGCAGGGGTCTTTAGGTTCATGATTTATGTCAGTAGCAGAGGAGATGCTATCAGTAATGATTTAAAGTTTTTCTCTTACATTTTTTGGAAGCCCCCTTGATGTAATTGCATACCCAGATTTCTTGTGACCAAGTCTCTTCGATATAACCAAAGGCAGTCTAATGAACATGTACTGAAACCAGAAATACTGGATAAAAAGCCAAACTCACTTACATATCACTATTCATGTACTGCCAACCACTAATCACTAAAGGACACCACTGACACAAATTGCCAATTACAGATGGTATAGTGCACAGATGACAAAATAATGGTCACTTGAGAGAGCACTTCTAACCAGGAGATAAAGGTTTATTTTTGATTACAGTGAGATGGTAACATTGGAACGTTTTTTAAAAAAAGTCATCATTAGCAAATGATATACAATTTCTGTCCTGTGGCACCACAGTTTACATGACCTCCAACTGTTCACATATATTTTAGCTTTATGTCAACTGTACCCTGATGACTTAAAGGAAGCTTGCTTCAAAGCATGTTTGAATTGCTGATCAGTCATGAATGGCTGCCATTTTGAAAATTCATTTTGGGCATGCGCTCTTTCATTACCTGCCACTTTTCTGACAGGAAATCACAGAATGCAAGTTAAAGTCAAATGACCAGATCTTGCCTTTGGCCACAAGAGATCCAGAAATTAGATTACTTGACATTGTTCTTTTTAAAATTTTCCTGGCCCTCCTAGTGTAGTATCATCCAACAACAACAATGAAATGTCATGACCTCCCCTCACCCCTCCACTCCTGCCAATCAATCTTTTTTCAAATTGTTGCTATACAATGATCGACATTGCATGTCTTGAAAAAATTAAGGATTTAACTGATCGATCAGAACATTTGAAGAATAATTATTTACTATGGTACACTTGTACATCTATCAAATATGTTTGAGAAAATGTTCTTGTCAGTCAAATTATGACGGTGGTCTTCAATAATAATCGTTATAAATTATTATTAATAATTACCTCGTTGCAAATGACAGGTGGCATTAAGGTGGAGAATTGAAAAAGAAGTAATTGAAGGAAAAGGTATGATTATTTTTAGTTAATGGATCTTAATTTTGCAATCAGCCTACTTTGTAATACAATAGTTATGTGATGATATCAGTGGACAGTAGTGACATATCAATGAGTTAAATTATCAACCATGGTACTCCCCATCCACACCAACTCTCCTGGATTATTTGCAAGTCTCTTGGATACAGACTAAAAAACAATTGTCATGTTACATCCCTACCTCCCCATTATGGCCACCTCTCTACAGCAGCCGCCTCTCTACAATGGCTACTTTCCTCTATCCCCAAGGTAGCCATTGCAGAGAGATTCAACTGTACTTTTACATCAATAAAATCTATCCTTTTTAGGACAGTTCATGTGTGGTGATAAAAGATGTACAGAATCTGAGGGTCTTCGCAGCTGGGAGGCAAGTAATATTATAATTTTGCTAATAACTCGGAATACAGTGAAACCTATATTAAGCAGACCCCATATTCAGCAGACACCCTCTATTAAGTGGACACCAGTTTGAGTCTCTGAATTTTCTTCCCACGTTTGCTGTAAAATAAACCTATATTCAGCAGACACCTCTGTTAAGCAGAGGTGGACACTGATATTAAGCCATTTTGTGACACAAAACCTCCAATAAGCGGATACTTCAAGGGCTTTTTACTTCTAAAAGATCAGCTCAGACTTCTTTAACATTGTTCACGGATGTCGTTTCAAAGCTAAGTAGATTATTCCAGATTAATGCATTGACTGACTGGACATTGTGCTATGAGCAGTCTTCGATCTTGCACTGCGTTACACTGTGTTATACTCTGTCACAAAAGGGTTAATATTTAACTATTATTGCCCAATAAATTAGAACCTGTTTAGAGCAGACACCCTGTATTAAGCAGACACTAGTGAGTTTCCCAAGGGTGTCCACTTAAATGCAGGTTTCACTGTATATCCATTTACTAGTCCTTTGATTTCTAAGTCTTAACAAACATGCTAGAAGTAATAATGCCAGAAATTCCCATCATATAAAAGTGCAGCTGATTTCAGATTCTCAAACTCTTAAATTTCTTTTCATCTTAATACTGGCTGTACTTTATATTTCAGTAACAAAGAATAGAAGTGCTTAATCTCTGGATTAAACTAATGGAAAATAATGGCAGTATCCAAACTGGAAATCTTACAACTAAGAAGCAACATTTCAATCTTTGATTAATATTCATTTGTTAATTATTTTGTATTTTGTTTTCAAGGTCAATTTTGCTTATGTGGAACATGGAGAAAAGAAAAATACTCTCATAAAACTAAGTATGTATGATAGGGATTTGTTCCCACTCTTACTTGTCTAACACTTTTTTTAC